CGCGCATGATAATGGAAGGAAGAAAAAAGAGAAAAGAGTGAAAACATGAAAAATGGAAAAATAAAACAAAAGGGTTGATCTCCACATGGATCGAACCCAGGACATGGTAGTGCAAGACAAGATGAGAAACAAGGCATAACCATTGGGGTGGCAATACATCCAAGTATTATGCCACCCCAAATAAAACATATACTTAGCAAGGTGAATTTCCTGGGCAAGCTAGGCAAGGTTCAAGGCAAGCAAACCAAAATGCGTTTTGATCACAACTTCCTCAATTCTCCACCAAATTTAACAAAATTTTAGTCAAACTTGCCTCTTGCGGACTTCCAAGCAAGTTTGTGTAGTATGGAAAACCTTAAAGCCTCCAAATAAGATCTAATCCAATGCCTTGGTGAAGATGATAGTTTTTCTTGCACTTGAAGTAAACAAGTGAATCTTGGACCAGAACTTGAAACAAGTGATGAGGATGATATTTCAGGTTATGGACAGTTGGTACATCATAAACCTAAGGTGTTTGGAGGTTTATAATGATCAAGACAGGCCTGGTATGTGATTTGGCAGATTTTGTATGTGAGTTCAAACTTTCCTTGGCTGAAAGTTGACTTTTGGGAAAATGAGGGTTTTGACTGGTTTAAAGGCTTGAACACCTCCCACACATCATTTGTGGATTGTGTGGATGGTTTGTGATGATTTTGAGTGGGTGAAAATGGTTTTGGAAGGTGTTTTGCTCAAGGCAGATTTTTAGGTATTTGGAATGGTTTTCTTCACTTGTAAGAAAACGCAAGATAGGATGAGAGCAATGGTTTTCTCTTGGGTTTTAGAGTGCTCTGGTGTACCTTTCAACATAGAGGAAACCTCTATTTATCGGCAAGGAAAGGTTTGGGCAGATTTGTCTTTTGGCATTTTTGAGGGAGTTTTGTAAAGTGCAATTTTGTTCAATATTGTGGACAGCTGCAAATCCAAGCTCTTGGCTCTAGTTTATGCATAAATCAAGTGGCATGAATGACAAAGAAGTGACTGAAGTATGTCTAGGGAGTAGGAGGACTGCAGCTGCAAGATTTCATAAAGTTTCTCTTTCATTGATTTCTTTGATTAAAATAATGCCAACTTGCATCTTACTTACCAAATCCATCAAACCCCTTAGTTTTCTGCATTTTTATTCATCATACTCTCTAAATATCAGATAGAAACATGAGCCAAGGGCTGAGAATAGCTCAAGTGATCAAAAGGTGAGTTTGTGAAAAAGTGAGAATGTTGGACTCAAGTGTTAAAACCTCATCTTGTTGAATTCATAACTCTCAACTCATAAGGGATATGGAGGAGTTCTAGTACATTTTGGAAAGCCCTCCTGAAGCTCTACAACTTTCATGTTTTCATGATCTTCATATTCCAAATGGAACTAGGTCAAAAATCCACTCAAAGTTGGCAAAAAACATGCCTAAAAAGGCCAATAACTTAGAATTTTTCTAAGTTATTTTTCCCTCTTGTAATGTCTTTGGCCATAACTTCAAATCTACGCATTTTCTGCTCATGGACCACTGTGGAACTTTTGTAGGACTTGTCAAGAGCTTTCCAATGAGCTTTGAACCAACTCAATTGGATGTGTGGTTAAGAAATTATGGTCTTGCCCCTTCCAAAACTCTAATTTCCCGATTTTTCGATTACTCCTCCATCCTTGATCAAATGGTCATGAAACTTCATGGGCAGGTGTAATATGGCATTAGTAAGATTTTTGCTTCACATTTTGAGGTCAAATTTCTTATGGTTGAAGAGTTGACGTTTTGGTCAACGAAACGATCGATCAATGACTACCGAGTCGACTATTGATGTTTCGAGTCTTCTGAGGCCTTGAAACTTCTTGAGTAGACTTCAATAAGCCATATGAGCTTCATGGACCATGATCCCACCATTGGAGCATCAATTAAATCAAAATTTAAACTATAGTTGACTTTTCCCCCAAATCTCCTGATTTTCAATTGACTGATCAATTGAAGCTCTTCTGATTAAAATTGATGGTCAATATCCCATCCTCACACACCTTAGGACACATGGAAGGCCATGGAAACAAGTTTTTCCCTTAAAAACAAAATTATCCTGATTAAAATTGAAACCCTAATTTCACACTTTTTGCGTGGGCATTGTGCAGAGGAACTGGGCGATCATTCCAACTCCACCATGACCTCTGAGGTACCCAACAAGCTCTTACCTCATGCTCACACCAATGAAAAAATATCAAAATTTCTTGACAACCCTCTAATAGTTTCTACTAATGCCTTTGATTAAAAAAAAGTATGGGCAAATTTAGGGTATGACAGTCATACCGGTTGAAATTCTGTTTGTTGCAAAGCTTGTTCCGTCGTAAACCACTCACAGTGGCATCCTGTAATACATACGCACAAAATATACAACACCATTAGCACCGCAGCAAGAGGACGAGACGTAAACTCAGGAGTATAACAATATCACAACAACACACAAACGCACAAGGCATACGGGAAACACAGCAAAACCATACCTTTAGGTGACTCATTAGTTCAGTCTTGTTTCCTTGTTTTAAATTGAATAATTGCAGCAGATCCTACAAGTTGGAGAATTGTTTCTACCTACAAATAGAGTAACGACGCAGAAAATATGTGAGTAAATTCATACGATAGTGTATTAATGCATATTACCAGAGAAAAGAGAAAAGGCACTTAAGATGTATGCAAAAGGCACTTAAGATGTTGAAGTTATGTACTTCTTGCAGATACATATTTTTCTTTTAACTAATTTGAATCTTTATTAGAAGTTGATAAACAGATTTAGTGGCAGACACCCTTAACCTCCCCTTTCCAACTAATACCCTATAAGCAAACAATACACAACTACTGTCTAATTCACTCAGTTTCCAAGTGCACCTACAACCAATCTTTTACAATAAGTTTAATTCAAGTATATCATTCTTTTAACAAAAACTGGCCAACCAACCCACATAATGACAACAACAGATTAAGGATTCTTGAAAATACTGTTACATTGAAAATACTGTTACATTGAAATTCAGCAACAGATTAATCATTCTATAGTGTGTGTGTGTGTGTGTGTGTGTGTGTGAGTGAATCAATGTTGTAGTTGAAATGGTAAAGTTAAATTGTGCTAAAATAGTCCATTTGAAGTTCAACATTTTCACTGTGAGAAAGAGATTAAAACAATTTTCAACTCAACAAATTCTTATTTTTCATATTGTAAACAAACCTCAATGACATAAT